TCCTATTAACTTAAAATCGAATCAAGACCAAGAGGTAAATAACATACCCATCATCTTTTTCGATTTTCTCCTTTTTCTTCGCCCCACCAGGACCATCCGTCACACAAAATAACTCTTCAAACTTTTGCGTATCAAAATTAATACTACCAGACAACTCATTTTCATCCAACTGCTCAAGTTCACTCCAAACCGTATTGTCGATGTCACTCGAAATTTCATTCCAATGTAATTTATTCCGTAACCGCGGTTTCGGTGGACCCACAGGTTGAGCGGGAATCATACCCGGGAACGGAGGGGGAGGTGGAATTGAAGATCCGGGCATGGGAGGAGGAGGCGGGGGAGGCGGGATTGAGGATCCTGGAATACAGGGAGGAGGAGGTGGTGGTGGAATGGAAGTGCCAGGAATAGGAGGAGGAGGAGGAGGCGGCGGAATCGAACTTCCCTGCATTCGGTCGACTGTTGCTACATCAGGTTCCGGTAAAAATGAGGTTCCAGGAATAGGTGGGGGTGGTGGTGGCGGAATAAGATCAGACTTGGGGACTTCTGGGTTCTCAGCTATCGAAGCGGACACCGCGGGTTCTGTTGAAGTCGGTGTCGAGCTGATACTTACAAGCGGCGCTTTCAGGTCTGTTCGACTTTCCAACTTTAAATTTTCAAAGTCACTCACAAGAATTTCACCGGGTTTAAGCGCATAAGATTCCGTCTGATCAGGCACAGAATTGGCGACATTCTGTGGGGAAACTTTGATATTAACGAGTTGATGTATCCGATTTGAAAGATCAGGGTTAAACAGAGACGGATCTGACAAAGTCGCATCTACCGGGTCCACTGGAGTGATATCATTGTACCCTTCACTGGTTGGTGTTTCGGCTCCTTTGTCTTCTTCCTCAACCTCTGATCCTTTCTCTTTCATAAGTTCATCTTTTGGCTTTTCTTCTTTATGTTCGATGGCTTTTTTATCGTCACCCTCACGAACATGCCCACGTTTCCGTGGACTACCGCCACCTTTCCTGATTTTTTTGAGCTTCATCGACATGAATTTCTCGCGGCCGAGTTGAACTAGCTCCTTGGAAATATCAGAATAAAGTGGCGAGGGAAGGATAACGGAAGAAATGTAATCGGTTGATTGAACAAATATATTTGTGTGTCGTTGGAGGGCAAACCTAGCTGTTACAGTTAAGAAGTAATGCCGTGGAGTCAGATAAGGATGGAGTATGTAAACAAACGACTTTAACTGAAAATGAAAGAAAACTAACCAATAATCTTTTTATACCCCAAATCTTCCAAATTCTTCATCAATTTTTCATCCGCTTTCACAAAATGATACTGGCTCAACTTGGCTAAACATTTTGTCCAACTTTTATCCAAGAGGAGAGCATAAGAAATCATATTGTTCCCATCTTTGACTTCGCTCAATATCAAATCCATTGAAAATTCAGGATGAAATCTACTACTGCTACTACCATGACTATGTGGGTCTGAATTAATCGTCTTTGAATCGCGGAGCGGTAATTCCATGTCGGCTGGGGTCAATCGAATCAATCCAGCTCCCATGAAACAGGTATTGAAGGTGAAATTTAGAATAGTAGAGGTTTGCATGAAGTCCTTAGTGACGCTAGTGTGAAATATCCTAATTTGGGTATCTTTCTCCAGCGTCAAGTGATTCACACCATTGTTGGTTATTGGTATAATGATGTTGAATCCGTCCACCCAAATTGTTTTGGAATCAGCATAATAAATAAGTTTTCCGCCGGAATAGATCTCAACGCCCGGGCAACATGAGCCCATCCCATCAAAATTGGGGATGGTGTTGATGATGATTCGATGGAGGTTCAGCGGGTTGGGATTTGGCACCGCGCCGCCTAGTTCAACAATATCATTAAAGTACTGTACATAACGAGAGATGGTGACGTTGATCCAATTTGTGTCGTTTGGCGATCGCTTTTCTAGAAAATGTTCGAGCGCCTCCATTGACGTCTCAAAGATAGATGCATACTTGAGGTAGCAGGAAGTGACGATAGCAGTTCGTGATTTTCCGTTCGAGCAGTGTATGACAGCGACATTAGTGGGCGAAAGGGAAAGCCAGGCGTGGAGGGATCGGACCACGTCGAAAATGGTTTTTAATGTAATGGTTGAGAAATCGAATGAGAGGACTTGTGAATTGAATGGCGTGACGTCGTAAGTGAGAGAATCTGTAGTGATGAGACATGGTCGGATCATTGAATAATTTTATGAGTCCACTGTTAAATGATAATTCCAGCAAATCAAATAAACAAGTAAATTTTGGAACTGACCGCTTAGATTCCATAGCATATATTTCCCTTTGTACCTCGTATTCAGAAATCTGGACAAATCCTCGACATTATTCCGATGGCTTTTTTTCTCGCTTCTACTACGCCAGGGCAAACCCATTACGATGATGCGATTCGTTATTCGGGTGATGTCTAATTCGTATATAATTCTTCGAAAATCCGGATCCTCTGGCAATTTTGGGACACCGTTGACGCCATTCACGACGTCCCCTTGCACATATGGCTGTGTTTTCGACGGGGAAGAATTACCAGATAGGGAGGTGATACTTATGCGGCGTTGTTTCTCGAGCGGGGCATAGAAAAGGTCGTTTTCCAAATAGGCATCCGGAGGGAGGGGAATCTGTATGTCGGAACCAGGGTTGGAAGAGGTATGATCTTCAGGGTATGTCCACGATGAGAGGAAATTCGAAAGGTTGGGAAAAATCGAGACCATATTGGTAGCCGATCGACTATGTGACAGAGATCGAAATGCTTTGGAAGATAGATGTGCTCTCTATTTGAGACGATTAAGGGCTACTAAGGACTTGAGGAAATACTGGATAAACGGAACTGACTGAAAGGTAGGTACGGGGAACCCGTCAATTGACGAAGCTTTTTCACAACCAACGATTTTTGACTAAATGGTACTTTGTTAATGGCGAGAGAGTTTTTTTAATACGAATTTTCGAGGATGTCGCAAAAGCGAGACGACGGATGATTTGGGATTGATTTTAAGATAACGGTGATCAAAGGCCGAATGTCAGAATTGGCAGGATATAGCAATGATTTTGGCTATTCACTACTGAGTTTGATTTCAGAAACTGATGCCATGCATAGCAGGTTTTTTAAACCTTTTCTCTTCTCGCTTAATTTGTATAATCAATCTATTATATCTATGGCCGATTGAATGATGACGAGGGAACAGAATTTCGAGTACGTCGTAAGGTACGAAACATTTCGCACGATCACGTGACTACTTACCGTATTACCATTAATTCACATTACTTATCTATTCATAATTACCAAGTATTAATATTGCACAATGACACAATCTACCACCGACAACAGCAAAAGCAAAAGGAAACCGTTCCTCTCGGCAATCGTACGGCCATTCCCCAACTCCTACGTCAACTGCGTCACCACAGTCTCCTCCTCCGAATCCCCGATTAACCTATCCCTCGCCCATGCCCAGCATCAGGCCTACATCGCTGCCATACAACGAATTCTCGGTAAAAACAACGTCCTAATCGTCGACACCGATGAAGCCCATCCAGACTGCGGCTTTGTCGAAGACACAATGGTCGTCGTCAGAGGCGTCGGGGCCGTCGTCACTCACCCTGGTAAATCGCTAACCTCATTATCTATCTCTTTGTTATTTTTGACAGTGGAAGTATTAACCCTGTTGTCCTTGCCTCGCGGACTATTATTGATAGGTCATCCAAGTCGACGAGGCGAGGTCGTCCCGATGATTAACGCACTCAAACAAATGGATCATTTCGCCGGAAAGGTCCATGTCATGAGTGGAGATGGAGTTCATGTCGATGGAGGAGACGTCTTGTATACAGGTAATGTATCTTACTTACTGTAAATATTTGTAAACTACAGCATTTCGCCCCTTTGGGCGCCATCTTGGGTCAATTTGAAGTGGCTCTCATGAAAAGAAAGCGTCTCACTCATTAACTATATCTTGTTCCAGGACGACACATCTTTGCTGGTTTATCCAAGCGCACGACCCCGTCTGGGGTTCAATTCTTATCAGATGCCTTCTCTTCGCACTTACCTGTTCACCCGCTCATCGTCAAAGACAGCATTCTTCATCTAAAATGTCTGGTAACGTGTCTCACTTCCGACACACTCGTGGTATCAGACACTCCCGCCGGTCGATTCGCCTTTGACGAGATTCAAAAACTGTCTGGAAACCAATACAACGCTGTGTTTGTCCCTGATTTGATTTCCGCCAATGTGGTCAGTTTCCCCGACGAAAATGGAGGTTTGAAAGCCGTCTTCGTGCAGAAGGGATTTCCATCGAGCACAGAAATATTGAAAAATGCGATCGCCAAGATTGAAAAAGATAATGGAATGGAGCCAGGAACAATAGAGGTTTTAGAGTTGGACATGAGCGAAATCATCAAAGGCGATGGAGCATTGACTTGTTGTTCAGTTTTAATTTAAAATTAGAAATCAACAGTTATTACTTATTAGAGTGCAATTCGGCATACGTATATGATGTGTTCTTAGAATCAAATACTCAAATAATTTGTAGAGTGCCGTGCCCTCCATCAGGTCCCATAGAATCACATTTTGTAGAGAAAGCTGCTAATATATACCTTTTACTCGTTAATCAAATCTTGTGATAATCATTGACCGAAATATATCCATAAGAACAATAATTCGAATATTCATTCAATCAGACCAGAATCCCATCAAAAAGGCAAGGTGACCCACCGCGTCCGGATAGTGTCAGAAATCCACCATTGCATCAGTTCACTGTGCTACCTACGCCTTTCAGGCAAAATTTATTTTATTTTACCAAGAGGTCAAAAAAGAAAAGAAAAGATCATGTAATAACTATCTCTGCAAAAATCACCGACAAATTTAAACACTTTGATACTGATCAAACTAAAATATCTCGGTCACTCCTTCGCACCGAAAACTAAAACATACTTGCGGTTCACACTACTTTTAACCTAAAAATATAACAAAATATAACTCTCGAGCGGGGAATTGAACCCCGGTCTCCCGCGGTCTACTTATAGCTACAATGATAACTATATGACAGGCGGGGATACTCACCACTATACTACCCGAGATCTGATAGTACTGTTTTAATTCTAGTTTTTGTTTGAATTGATTTGAAGATTGAAACGGTCAAAGAGGAATTGACTTTTGGAGAATATAAACGAAGGTCAGTTGGAAGTAAGAAGAGTGTTAAGAGAAAATAAAACTGGGAAGATCATTTCGGGAATGTCGAATTTGGGTAGTATATTAGAAGCTATTTGCATCTGGTGCGTGCTGGTGCGACCAGCGAGAGCGCGTTTATATTGGGGATTTATTATCACCTGATAAGGGGAATCAATATATACATGACATTCTTTCAATTATATTATGGAGCACTTAATATGGGCAAGGCTGAATTAAATGGTTGGATTTTTTGATACTTTGAATGAATTGAGAATTTCAACAACCGACCTCGCAATGTTCAATTCACTTTAGGAGAGATCGAGTTCACTGTGCCGGACAAACAAAAATTTCCGCAAGATTTAATTTACCGTTTTCTTCAACTCGACGGTTGTTTTCCCCAAAAGACAAGCGTCATCTGAAAATCACTCTCCAAACATATCAACGAGAATAGAAAATTTTAAGATTTTGGTATTGCCCCTGACCGGTCAGATCACCTTACCACCAGCAAAAAAGCTTTTTACTTATTTTCCATTAATTAAACAGTAAAATGTAACTCTCGAGCGGGGAATTGAACCCCGGTCTCCCGCGGTCTATCTATAGTTATCATAACTAATTGACAGGCGGGGATACTCACCACTATACTACTCGAGATATATGTAACAGAGATAAAATTTGAGTCATATTCTATTGCATTATTGATTTGAGAATCTTGTTACAACAATAAATGAAAGCTGATTTAGATGAATCAATGGATATGTTTCAGTATAGTTTAAGAAAGATATATGATTGTATTAACGAGTTCAAGTTTTGGATAGCAATGGTTCAGACGACAGACATAATCCTAGGTCCAACTCGGCCGTTTGTACAGGTCATGTATTTAATATCGAATATTTTGCTAATGTAACAAAATTTCAATGAGGAACAATTGTAAGGATAAAAATAGCCATTACACCTAGGGTTCCAATAATGATGTAAGAACTGTTAAAAATTGCATACTGATGGTTCTTGGGATCTTGAGTTCGTACTTCGTGTTCGAAATTCTAGAATGTCTCTCGCGTTTTGGAATTCCCTCGACAGACCCAATCTTATTGATATGGGTTAAATTTAACAGCGTTCGTATCTCTCGCTATTGGGTGTTATATCTTAAGCTACTCTACGAGATAGAGACACTCTCTAGTGCATATTTTTCTCACCTACAATGAATCAACGCACATGCAACGAAAATGTTTCCTTTCTCTTCGCGAATTCTCCTACAGTGCGAACTGTCGTCCAAAGTATATTTATTCAACATCAACAGGCGATTCAGCAAAATCCTTCTCCAAATACTCCTCGCCCAGTATTGAAAGTGACATGTCAACCGTGCAATGATGCGACCAAGGGTTATTTCCACCCTCAACATCTGGTAGTAGTATTGTGTTGTGACAAATTGAAGAATACTGCCGATTTGGAGGGCACTTTGGTTCATGAATTAATCCATGTTTATGATCATTATTCCGAGTCAGTGAATTCGAATACGAAAGAGCAGAAGGACGGAATATTAGTTACAAAATTCCAAAGCCTTTGGAAGCAGCAAATTCAGGATGCGACTGCCTCGTCTGCAAAACCTGTCACTTTGGAAACATTACTTAATAGCTTACCGAAAGCGGCAGCACCATCCAATGGAAAGGAGTACTCATTACGGTCTTTTATTCTCTCACAACTCGTAATTCCAAGAAAGGAGGAATATGTTACTCTTCCAACTGGGAAGAGTTATCCTGTAAGTCTTCTGCAATTGATTTGTAAAGAAATCAGGGCATCGAAATTAGGCCAGTGTGGCTATCAATTTGGATTACACAAGTATACCGCACTCCCTACTCAAGCTAGTATTACGACTTCGACATCCACGAGCTCGTATCCTCAAGTGTACCCCACGCCTATTTCCTTATCTATTGACGTGCCCACTATTAACTCAAAATTTTCACTATCCCATTGGAGGTCTCTTTGGTCTCAGTCTGTTTCTATGCCCGATCAAAAATTGGACGCAAAGATCAAGAATGTGAAGTTTGTCGACTGTGTCTTTAGAGATGCCTTAAGTTCATTACGACACGAGCTAACAGCAGAGGCAAATGTGTTATCTTCGGTCTCAAATAACACTTCGACTAATAGAGAGAAAAATGCATCAAAGAAATCGGCTGCCGTGAAAAAATTAGGGAAGACAGAAATAGATGAGGAGGAACTGAAACAGCTCATCAAATTTGTATTTCCGTATTGCTGGTGCGATCATCGTCCGTTTAATCTGAATTAACCAGAACTAAATTTAAATTTCTGCAACATAAATGCTTTTACATTGATCTACCTTTGAATCATTTTGATTAGCACATCAAGCCCAGATTTTCCATTGTCAATAGAATAGGAATTAGGATATTTAGCCTATGTCTGCATTGTATTTTACATTTGATTTTACATAAAGCGATACATCATGTAGGCTGCACCGATAAATTATCGGTTCCATGTGAATTGATTCTCTATTGCTGAACACAAGATCGTCCGTCAATTTCGATTCATCACGACAATACATTACTCAGCCTCGTACAAGAAACAGGAAAAAACATTTGGAATGTCAGGAAACCGCAAAAGAGTGGATAGAGACTGTGCCGTACATTATAGAAATTAAATATGGCAGTCTTTTACATTGCAGACCTTATTCTGTCGCTGGGCACCGTCTCTGTTGTATCTACTAGTCTTATTCTCATTCTCTCTGTCTACCTATTTTACGCCACTACTCGATCTCCATCAAAATCTCCACATCGGCTATTTCATTCACATACTTTCCATGCTAGATTTTATCCAGTCACACATAAATTTATATATCCTGTACTCTATTTCGGCTTGGACTTAAATGAACTCGAAAAGAACGGCAAAAAATCGGTATTAGGATGTTTACAACAGCATCCCTTGGCTTGGTGCTGGAGCTGGCTTTTCGGTTTGGAAGAAAGGGGATTGTGGAGTATTTGGGCCGATGATTATTTGAGTGAACTTTCTGATGGTAGTGACGGAAAAGTGAACCGTCGTAGTTTGCCGGTAAAAACAAAACCGAACGGAGGAAAGAATCAAGATGGCGGGAAATGGACTTCGTTGCGACAAGGAGCTTTGAATCATTTAGAGGCAAAGGTATCCTTATTATATATACTGTTAATTTAATTTATTAGAAAACTCATTGTTTGGTTTATCTATATGTGTAGGGTATTCATTCGGCTTCGATAGGACGGATTCTGCTGGTCACTACTCCGCGCTTCCTCGGTTACTCTTTCAACCCTCTCAGTGTATATTACTGCTATCGCCAAGCAAAAGATGATTCAACCGATACCGAAGATTTAGTTGCTGTCATCTTAGAGGTGAACAACACATTTAGTGAACGCCATGTGTATATCTGTTGTCCTGAGAATGCATTGGAGAGAACTGAAGTGAGAGAGGGGTTCGTCATGATTTGATAAGATTAGCTGCCATATTGTGAACTCCATGTAATTAAACCCACGTATAGGTACGATCAAGGTTACCAAGTTCAACGATCATTCCACGTTTCGCCTTTCAACGATCGATTGGGGAAATACATGGTGTACCTATCCAACCCTTCGAATGGCCTCCTCAAAATTCGTCTCAACATGTATCGATATCCCTCATCCGACTCAAATAAAGCGTCTTCCGAATCACAGGCCCAGAAACACTTAACCGCTACTCTTGACGGATCTGGAGTGGAATTAACGCCAAGAATGCTTATGTATACTTCATTAAAGTACCCTGTTACTGTCTTTTTAACAGTCCCAAGAATTATGCTTGAAGCGGGTAAGTTAGCGTATAAGAAGAGACTGTTGGTTTACCCCAGGCCCAATCCAATTGTGAATGCAGATAAAACAAGTGGGACAGTGGTGATGAAGGATCCTACCTTCTTTGAGAGGTTAGTTGTTTCATCATAATAGAATTCAAACTGTTTATTATTTGCTTTTACTTATGAATGCACCTTAGTTACTCCACTTCGTTGTTCCTCGATTACCTAAAGTCTCGAATAATTCATCAGCCAGACTTGTCTATCAGTCTATACTTTCCGCTGCCTAAATCGCCAGTGACCATATCTTCTTCAGAAGTGGAAGCTACAAAATTACACCTCACATTTCACAATCACGAATTCTTTGCTCGACTACTATCATCGACCAATGTGATCTCAGGCCTTATCGTAGGATATGTGGCGGCTGATATCGATATCTCTATTACTACCAGCAAGCTTGATCTGGATGCATCGGAAAAAAATAATCAAGTAATGGCTTTGAAAAAGCTCGTAAACTTTCTAATTCCTGTTCCTTCGAAATCTTCAAACGAGTCCTTCGGAATGGTATTTGAACAAGCATTGTATTACATCCGTCGTCTCAATGCTGGAATCCCATCATCCCAACATCCTCGTCCGAGTTCATGTTCACACCTCATAAATACACCTAAATCATTAGATTCTCGCCTCCTTCCGACTCTTTCTGACGATTCATTTAATATCTTCGCGATATTAAAGCATCTCATATATATTTCCGCTCATTGTATATTATCATACCTTGAGCAAACTTGGTTCACTAAAATCACTAATTTCGTGTGGAACCCGTTTCAAGTCAACAAGAGAATTAATATTTATTTAAATGAGCTGGAGGACTCTACTTTCTCATCGTCGAATGATATCACTAAGGGTGACGCAGCAAAGAAGATGACGTTGAAAGATCTACTTGATGACGATTTGGTTAAGGATGAAACTGTGCAACGCTATCGGAAAACGATGGAACAGTTAGAGAGGGAAAGGTTGGACGTTTGTTGGAAAGCGATACTCGAGTATATTAGTGAATTGGAGACAAAGAAGAGTGCCGGCAAGGACAGCCAACAAGAATTGTGGATG